CTTTCGTATTCGACTACTGTCGTCCGACATCGACTAGTATTTAGGCACCCCCCACGAGGGTATCATGTGGCACAAGGCTGGTGTAACGTGGGATCTTCGAGCCCGTGGGCTCGGCTAAAAATATACCCTTTGAACCCGTAAAAACGGGTTCAGGGTCGGTTTACCTCCCCGAGCGAGACTCTGCCCTTCGGCATAGCCTCGTTCGGGTTCCTCCCCGTCCGAAGGCAGAGAGTTCAACCGTTCAGCCGGTCGTCCAACATCGACTAGTATTTAGGCACCCCCCCACCAACCACGAGGGTATCATGTAGCACAAGGCCGGTTTAACGTGGGATCTCCGAGCCCGTGGGATCGGCCAAAAATATACCCTTTGAACCCGTATAAACGGGTTCATTAACTGATTCGATCATTGACTGATTCGATCACCTCAGGAAACCTCACTTCTGTAGGCTTCCCAGGCCTGTCTTCATCCTCAACACTGATTCGTCCTTCTTTAAACAATTTAGCCCACTTGCAGACATTTTTTTGGCTGAAACATGTGGCACCATACACAGTTGACATTCTCCTATGAATTTCAACTGGTTTGCACCCTTCAGCAACCAAAAACTTGATAACTGACCGCTGTTCAATCCTGGAGCATGCTTCTTGGTCGGCCATCTTTGTTAATCGCCAAAACTCTCAAATTTTTTTTTAATCTGCAAAAGAAATTAAATCCATGTGAAAAAAGACGTAAAAAAAAAAAAAAAAAAAAAAAAAAAGCTTCTATCTGTATTAGAAGTCCTTATACCGAAAATTTCACCTTATTTATTGAATGACCCTCGTATATATATATATATATATATATATATATATAATACTGACCTTGTTGCGACCACGGTTTGTGCCACGATGACTTCGTTAAGCAACAAGTCTTGTCTGACGAAGCCATCTCACAGGAGTTACTTTTTATGATATTTTGTATCTAAATTCGGCCTATATTCTCGTTTTATGAAAATTGTATCGAACACTTAATTTAACTGTTGTTTTGGCGAATATAATTTTTGACAAAGCTTGAATTCACACTTCCCCAACTCCCATCGATAGGGAAAATAATCTATTTTTTCATGCTTCTACAGTAGTTTTCATGTAGTTTGCGGCCATTTTCTACTGGCCAGAGTGAGAGCCTATAGCTGGCTGCCACGAATAGGCAGGAAGATTCTATTGGCCAGCGTGAAAGCCAACAGCTGACTGACACGAATGTTAACTAGCATGCTAGCGTGCAAAAAAAAAATCGATAGCTGCATTCGTCACTGCATTTAAATCTGCATGGCACTTTACTCCAATTGGCTCATTCGCTTGCTTAAACTCAACGTTGATTCTAATTTCGCAGAACTGGGTTGGATGTGAAAAAGTATTTGTTGTTAACATTCTTTTTTCATTCAGTTTTTCCAGTTACGAGTCCTTTTTTAAAGCTGATCGTTTTGTGTTCATTTTGTTTAGTTCTTTTTTCGTAACAGATTTAAAGTTTAGTATAGAGCTTAGAAAAAATTTGCAGTGTGAGATAGGCAAGAAGTAAGGCATGTAGCAACATCAGCACGGAAAAGGGCACTCCTTTAAAAAGGCAAGGAAGGGCAAAAATATTTTAAGTCAAGTGATAGCGATTGCTGTATGAGTCGTACGATTTTTGAATCAAGTACGGGCAACATGAGGCCATACTGCTAGTACATATATATATATATATATATATATATATATATATATATATATATATATATATATATATATATATATATTGTATTTATATACACTTTGTTTTGTATATAGTAACCATTTTTTGTTCACCACGTGATGAACAAAGATGGTTACTATATATACATCTTTGAAGTGACTTGTATGTAAACAAAGAAGTATATATATATATATATATATATATATATATATATATATATATATATATATATATATACGTTCAGGCATCGTAACAAATATGCATCTTTCTAGTGATTTCTTTGTTGCAGCAATTTATAATAAATATATATATATATATTACGGTTATGCCATTTTTGTTACCTGCTGAACTTTATCAAGTCAAATGTTAGGATTTTATTTTGCAACAAGTTTTGATGAAGTGGGTATATATATATATATATATATATGTGTGTGTGTGTGTGTGTGTGTGTGTGTGAATTTAGCAAATACACTAGTCATATACAGAATTAAATTCGACTATAATTGTATTTATTTCCATTATTCTCTTCTTGAATTATGTTTTATATATATGAATATTAAAATATATATGAATAGTAAAGACAAATCTCCGCGTGTCGAATTCATTTTTTTTTTTTTGTAAGTTTTCAACATTTACTGTCACAATTCGTTACTAACCTGCTTGTGTGACATGGTACAGAGTCCTGTTGTCAGACGTAAGATCTTCCAGCAGCCACCCTCTTTACCCAGGGCAGCACTACCTCTTCAAGTCATGACGAAGGCCTTTGTGTTGAGTCTGAGGCCCACATCAACAAATCCTGTGTTTCTTTTCTGATCTGAACGATCAGGGTCATTTTTCTCAGCTGCCGTATCTTCGTAATCACCATTAGACTCATCCAACCCATTCCAAATCCTCTGAAATGTTCGTATTGGAGCTTCCGTCACGAATGCCAAGCAGTACAGCATGCCGTTTCCAGATTTCTGGTGGAGTTAATTACGTCATGGTGCTCTTATTCTCATACACAGTGCCCAGATGACCCTACTATGCTGTGCAGTCAACAAAATCAAAAACAAACAACGCGCATGCGCGAAATTAAAAACATAAAATGGTGACACATCGCATCGTGTATATCTGGAATTTATCGCATGTGCAACTTATATTAAGCAAATTTTCACACCTCTAATATATTCCAGTGAAATACTTCTTAAATGCCGATACTTGGATCCTCCAAAATTTTATGAAATATGTTTGTCCTTACATTCGACTTGCGTACATATCACACCTGTGAGGCGAAACTGTCATTTAAAGAGCACTGACTGAGGGTCGATCGCACTATTGCCGGCTTGCAACACTAACGAAGGCTATCTTTTCTTTCTTTTTTCGCCCGTGAAGAACCTTTGTTGGGCGTAGGCTTTCCCAAGATTCATAGAAAGGAAATGGCCGTTACCCTGCCGCACTGGATTAATGCGTGTTGGGAGGCGCAGATGTGAGATGCTTGGGTGACCATATCTCTTTTCGATTCGGGATCGCCCAAGGGTATTTGCCTAAATGAATATAACGAACGTGACTGGAATTCGAACTTTGCTTTACGATTTCTTATCCAGAACCGTTATCCATTACACCACCCACACATCCAAGCTTACAGCACTTGGCATTTCCAACCAGTTACCCATCTAGGTACTGGCAAGGTTCGACGTTGTTTAACGTCGGTGATCGGGCAGGAACCGATGTTTTCTACGCGATGTGGCCGTAAGCCCTATGCTCTCTTCAGGGGTAATTAATTCCATGAAAGAAATATGATTTAAGTTCGATGATAAAGAGAAAGAAATTATTTGAAAAGAATAAAATTTTTAAAAAAATGCATTTTTCTTTCTTTTTCAATCTTTTTTGGAGAGTGACGACATCAGAGAATCGATAAAAAAATATTTAATACCTTGTTTTTGTGGTCGAAAGAACGTGATATGTCAACTCCGTACAAAAAGAAAGAAGTGATTATGGTTACGAGTGTGTGTGTATGTGTGTGTGTTTGCGCGTGCGCGCGCATGCGTGCTCACACTTTCTTTTTATAAAGAGAGAGAGCAGTGCTGATAGAAGAAGCGGACATTATATTGATCAGTATTTCACCAATGTATTGCATGGATCGGGGGATATAGATTGTTGTTAGCTGTCAGTAAATTTATTGTTTCCAATAAAATATATCGTTGAATTATAAGTCACGAAGACGTTTGGAAATCTAATATTTTCTTTCTTCTCGAAATATTTTTATTTATTTATTTTTCGAAATGAGTTTTTTTTTTTTTTTGTTTCGTTTTTTTTTAATAGAGAAAGTTTAGCGAGACAAGAAAATTTTAAAACTTAAAATCGATTATGTAAAAAAAAAATTTAATTATGCCCTCTCGTGACTTTTCGGGAAGGCCTGTATACATAAATAATTTTTTAAAATTCTGAATAATTCGATTTTATTTTGAAAGATAATTTTTTTTTAACAAGGAGTATTTCAGAGCCTTTTATATATTTCCATTATATTTCCTATTTAGAATAAAAAAATAAATAAATTTAAACTAAATTAAATTTACTTCTCATCTTATATTTTTAAAAAGACAGAAAATGCGACACCGAAACCCGAAGACGCATTGGGAGAGCGTAAGATGCTTTCCAAAAGCTAAGCGAAGTATTAAGAAACAGAAAAATTTCGTAGGATACAAAGAAAAGGGTATTGGAGTCTTGTGTAATATCCCTCGTTCTATCTGGCAGTAAAATAATCTTGTAAGTAAGCATTGCCGAGGGAGTCAAAAGTGTATGCAGTAATAGCGATGTCAAGGGACTAACCGTCCTTTTCACACACAGTTTGTTTGTTTGTTTTTTTTTGTTTGTTTTTTGGGTTTTTTTTTCTTTCAGGTACGAAAGTTAAATAATGTTTCGATTTTTTAGCTGACATTATATTTATACATTATTCGGACTATTGTCCTCATCTTTGTCGCCATATTTATTACAACGCTTCGGCCGTTGTACGCTCCGGCCTTCTTCAGGTGGTTGGAATGTCGAACTTAACCCTTTATTTCGGTCACTGGGGTAGACTGTTCTAGTTCCACGTGCCATGTTTAATGGATGTCAGTTATCAGTTATCTCCTGTTAATTTCCCTCTGAAAGTTCTCCACTGCCTTAACCGGGTATTGAACTCACACTCTTTGGGTCCTGTCACTGGATCTAACCAACACCTTTATCCTCTGTGCCATGTGTGTACATAATACCTCATCGCGGAAATATAGACAGACATTATTTTTATTACTATAAACGTTATTTTTAGGAGCTTGCTTTCGGCCACATCACATTGAAACACCAGTTCCCGTACGATCAGCAATGTTAGACAACGTTGAGACTGGCGAATACCTAGATGGGTGACCGCTTGGGAATACCAGATGTTGCAAGTTTCGATGTGTGGGTGGTGTCATGCGTATTGATTCGGAGTTGTTAATCTGAGAGCCGAGTTCCAATTTTGGCTGGGGTTATATTCACTTACGGGCAAATATCATTGAGAAAGGTATGAACCACATCTTCACCCCCCCTCATATACACCCCATCTATGGATTAATTAGTAGAACTTGTATCAGTAAAATCAATATTATCTCCAAAAAATTCTTACAATCTAGAAAGGTTTTCTGGCTTTAAATAACCTGAAAAGTGGTGATAAGCCGTAGAAAACGAATCGGTCAATTAGTTTTTAGGTGATAAGCGTGTTTGAATTGATATCTGTTCTTTTTTGTTTTTTTCTTAAATAATGACGTTAATGTCAACCGGCCAAGATTAAGAAGTCTTACTAAATAAAAATATGCCTCTCAACAGGAATCGAACATATAACCTCATTTTTTGTTTCATCAGGGAAACCACCCCGATAGCTGAAGTTCGCCGTCAGCAATTTGACGACAAAAGACCATTATAATGAAACAAGGCTACATAAGGAATGCAGCCCTCGTTTGAACTTGACAAAAATCTCTGCCTTCTAGTTTCATTTTCCTTTCCGAAACGTAAACTCGGTATTTTTAAATGGATTTCTTATCCAACAGTATTTCTTATTACAACAATCATTATTTTTAAGGGATACAAATGTAATATGATATATATATATATATATATATATATATATATATATATATATATGTGTGTGTGTGTGTGTGTGTGTGTGTGTGTGTGTGTGTGTGTGTGTGTGTGTGTTTTATTAAAAAAAAATAGTAAAAAATTTAAATCTTCAGACACACTGGCTTGTATATTAATATTCTTTCGTTTTTTATTATTTCAGTTAGTTTCCTCGACTAGTTTCGGCCAACATGGCCATCATCAGGAGAAAAATAATTTTTTGCTTGCTGGTAGCAGTGAACTACAGAAATGAATGTCTTGATGAAGAAAATGAACTTTTTTCTGTAGTTTTCATTTGTTTTTGTTTTTTTGTTTATTTGTTTCTTAACATGAATTTTGGTCAGTCTTTGTGTTGGTCAAACAGTCTCTTTTAAGTTGTTATTTGAGATAAGAGCTGGATGGATTCATGCTGCTCTGAATTTCTTTGGTCATTTTGACAGTTTTGTTGGTTCCTGGAAAGGGGATGTGCCTCTGTTAAGTGCGTGTGTGTTATTTGGTTCTTAGAGAGTGAGTGAGTATGATGTGTGTAAGCGTGTATATTACTATGGGTGTGTGTTATCATTTGGCTATTAGGGAGTGAGTGAGTATGATGTAAGTGTGTATAGTCGTGTGAGTGTGTGTATAGATTTGAGGTCTCAACACCTCCGCAAGCATGTCTGTCTTGGGTGAGTGAGAAATGTGGGTAGGTCCTGATTTGTGGGGTTATTTATTAATATTATCTATATTGTTAAATTTGTGATTAAGCCCGTCTGGATAGTGCGTTTTTAAACGACCTTTTCACTTTTTTTTCATGGCACTCTAAAATATTTCTAATGTTATGTGCTCTGAACTTTTCTATTCTCTCAATTATAGTGAATTTGGCATGGGTTTTAAAATCGTGCTTTTCTGGGCGGAAATGTTGTTCTACAGGTAATAATCTTTCAAGGGGAGTCGACTTAATTCGATTGCGATAATTATTAATTCTGTAGTTCATATATATATATATATATAGGATAACGATATATATTTTTATATAAATTTTTATATATCACGAACAGTTCTGAAAGAATGGCTATATGACAAATTGAAAAAAGTTTTTTGTGACGCATTTCATCCGTTAGGACTTCATCAGACTGGGTTTGTTGTCATAGTTGTGACTATACATGCGCACGAACAAAGGAATTTTGAAATAATTTTCTTTTTTCAATACCCTTCATATTCCATGCAAAATAAAAGGTTCATAAAATATTCCAAAATAGAAGAGCTATCCTTTTTGACAAACCGAACGAATCAAAAAAATATTATTCTACCGACTAATTCTATCACAACTACAATCGGAAAGAATTTATCTAAACTCAAAATAAAATTTATCACAACTACATCTAAAGCCATAAATGACTTAATCAAAACAAATAAAGCATCAAGCCAAAACTTGAGGAGGAATTTATAGTATCAACTGCAAGGATTGCCGGGAAAATATATTGGAGAAACTTCAAGAAGTTTAAATAAAAGACTATATGAACACAAAAGAGACATTTTAGAAAAAACAACACACAAAACGCCTTGGTTGTTCATCGTAACCCAACGGACCAGAATTTTGCCATAAAAAATGATACTCTATGGTGGAGTAATGGATAACGGATCGGATTGAGGAATCGAATCCATTACATTCACTTACGTGCTAATACCCTTGAGAAAGGTGTGAATCCTCTTCTTCTCCCTCCAGCTATGTGTAAATAGCAGGACAAACTGGGTTAGATGGCAACTGGTCTACCGCAGAAAGAAATGGCAACCTACTGCGGGAAAAATATGCCTCGTCAGTCATGTATCGAAAGATACATGATCGCCTAAGCATGGATCACGCATGGTACATAACTGACTCTAATTAAAAGAGAAAATAGTTCACTCAGACGAAAATGTCTGGGAAAGTACTTTAATCGCTAGGTAAGCCACAGTAAATTTACCTTCAGGTTCTTAGAACGTTTCATCATCCCAGGCAGATCTTTGGTTATCACAATGTGGGACATTTAAAAACAAAAATTGATGGAAAGAAAACGAATTTGGTTAGATTGAGAAAAAATGTACGTATATATAATCACAACAACGTCAACAGTGTCGAATGAAGTCCTAACGGATAAAACGCATCACAAAAAACTTTTACAATTTGTCATATATATATATATATATATATATATATATATATATATATATAGTCTTAAGATGTGCTATATTTATGGGATAAAGTGCTCAATATCAGAGATAGATTAATGTAAATATAAAAGTGAACATAGAAGTCAACACTTAGAGGCGACAGTCTGTTTCATGCTAGATGCAATCGTCAGGCCACAAGTGCTGTTATTTTATATATACGGGTCAATGGTGCATTGTGAGTAGTCTATTTTGGCGGTTATTTTACCGGAAGTCGTTTATTTGTTTAATTATTTATTTGGGTTAAATTATTTTGCTTGTTTTTATTTATTTTTATTTTTTAAACTGTTCCCGCCAAAATAATAGTTAGAATAAACTACAACAATCAACCCCAAAATTGAATAAATAGCTTTAATTATCTTCCCAAACCAAAACAAAACTATTAAATAAGCGATATAAACAAATTTTTACTACGTTAATAAAAACACTGATTAAAATAAAAACAAAAAATAAATAAATATATAAGATAAGAATTAAAAATAAAAAATAAAAATAGAAATAAAAAATAAATAAAAACAAGCAAAATAAATTAACCCAAATAAATAAATAAACGACTTCCGGTAAAAATAGACTACCCACAATGCACCACTGACCCGTATATATAAATAGCCGAGAAAAATAACAGCACTCGTGGCATGACGCTTGCATCTAGCATGAAACAGTCTGTCGCCTCTAAGTGTTGACTTCTATGTTCACTTATATATATATATATCATATATATATATATATATATATATATATATATATATATATATATATATATATTTGATTTGATTTAAAAGATAGTATTTTGATGTCCTATGATATAATTAATTTTAATTTATTGTATTTCTAAGTGATGAATAAACATATTTTACATGTAATTAACTGTACACAAATGCATAATAACGAAATATAAATAGAAAACAGAAAAAAAAAAAATTGGTTTAATTGAAATAAATTCCTTTTATCCATTTTAATGGGTGAAAAAAGTATTCTTACAAAGAAAATTTCAAATTTTAAAACATTAAATCGCTTTAATACTCTAGATTATTCAAGTGAAATAATATAGAATGTTCCAGTAATGTTATCAGTAGTTAGTTTTAACCTAAAAAATAAAAGAAAGCATTCAGTAATTGATATTCGTGCAAGAAGTTTATCATCATGGCAAGTGGTAAAGAACTGAGAAATTCGCAAGAAAACTGATTGTTAAGCTTTGGAAAGAACGTATTAGTCACAGGAAAATCTCAGACAACCTGAATATTCCATATATTACCATTATTTCATTCATTGCAAGGTATAAAAACTGAAAACCAAAGAAAAACAGGTGCTCCATGCAAGATTTCTTTAAGATTTTCGAGGAAATTGATTCGTCAAATTAAGCAAAATCCAATGGTTACACATCAAGAATTAGGGGGTGATTAGCTTTCTTCAGGAATCTGTGTCACTAAACGAACAATAAGCAATAAAATTCATAGGAACAATCTAAAGTCACGCTCCCCTTGAAAAACCCTATTGCTATTAAAAGACACAGAGATGTCAGGTTGAAATTCATTCGTGAACATAAGGATAAGGAAAATCGTATTGGAAAATTGTATTATGGACAGACGAAACCAAAAAAACTTTTCCAATTATATATATATATATATATATATATATATATATATATGAAGAAATTTTGAAAAAAACAAACAAAAATCCTTAAATGTAGTTAAAATGAAAAGAAATGTCGACGTCTGACGTTTCGGTTCTTTCATTTTAACTACATTTAAGGATTTTTTGTTTATTTTTCAAAATTTCTTCATTCTGTCGGATTTATATCCATTTACACTTGCTTATAAATATATATATATATATATATATATATATATATATGATTTGATTTAAAAGATAGTATTTTGATGTGCCTATGATATAATTAATAAGCGTATATAATAATAATAAAAAGATAAATTAAAGTAGGAATTTACATTAAATTGATGAATAAAACTCAGGCTTTTTGGGCAGCCTCGTTCTCAAAATCCGTTATACATGACGTCACACCAGACCATTTCAAACATCCAGCTTTCCAAAAAATACCAGGATGTAGACTAATAAATCCTAACGACCACAGAGACACCATATCGATTCTTGATAAAATCTACGAAAGTCGGAAGTACTTGAACAAAAATATTAAAATATGAACGTCAGACAATGTATCCACAACTTCAAGCACAAGACTCAATACCTTATCAGAAATTTGAAAAAATACAATAAAAAATTAAACAGACAGTCCTTGTCAATTCTTTTTAATCGAACTTGTTTGGATGAATTCTTGCTACCTAAATATATTTTATTCATATATATATATATATATATATATATATATATATATATATATATATATATATATATAATATTTATGGATGAACGGTTTATATTGACTATCCTCTCATTTGAAATCATTCACGTAGGCGTGAAGCAATCAGTTCCCCAGCCTCTCATATTCAGTTGTCTCATCACCCTTCATCTCTTAGCTTCTGCTCTGAAATCACTCCCCTCTTGACTTCCACCTCACACCGCCTTACTTCAACTCGGGTCTCTGCTCGCTCTGTTACACACCAACTGTAGCCCGGGGGTGAAAGTTCGTGCTTCAAGCACGACTCGACATCACGCCCAAGTTGAGAAGTCCCCCTGACTTGCGAGCAAGACGCTCCAAACAGGCACTGGAAATGTCAAGTGTGGTTTTCTCACCGACACATCCCGTCCCGTGCGGAGGCGTCGTCATCGGCGACGACGCACCCGCCAGACATGGCCATACGCGTAAGTAGGAGGCGCTAGTCACGAGCCCGTAGTCACAAGATAAAGGTGGGATGCGTAAACACGTGTACGCACGAGTGTTTTCGGAAGGGAGGTGCACGCGCCTTAGCTAAAAAGAAAGTGGAAATAGTTTGAAAATGTTGGCCCCTCCACTGAAAACACACGCCCGAAAACCTGTCCCTTTCGCTATGAATTTATTTATAAACACATTTTGTTATATATATATATATATATATATATATATATATATATATATCTATCTCTGCCGAAATTTATACGATCATTCAATATATATATATATATATATATATATATATATATATATATCTGAAATTTATACACGATCATTCAAGATATATATATATATATATATATATATATATATATATATATATATATATATATATATACATACCTCTGCCGAAATTTATACACGATCATTCAATATATATATATATATATAAATTTTATAAACTCTTTATATATATATATATATATATATATATAAAGAGTTTATAAAATTTATTTTAATGATACATCTACTGGAGAAGGCGCAGTGATTTTTTTAAGGTACGAAAAGTACGAATTATGCCTACCGGCTTAAGCATTCGAAAGCCTTAATAAACATATGCAGGTATATGGTATGTCTGTTTTAACTAGTTTATTGTCATTATTATTGTTGTTGTTAATAATATCATTATCTTTTTTGTATATCTTATATATATATATATATATATATATATATATATATATATATATCACAAAAGAAAGAACAGTAAAATATATAATCCGGTGTTCTCGTTATTTTTTATTTTTTTTTTACAAAACAGTGCTCAATGTAAATTTAACAAAGCATAAATATTATAAATTAACTGATTTAAAATATGTTTTTTCGCTACACAGTAATAACCATGTTTCAAAAATGGAAACTAAAAACTTTAAATTTAATTTTGTAATTAAATTTAAAGTTTTTAGCTTCCATTTTTGACACATTGTTATTACTGTGTAGCGAAAAACCATATTTTAAATCAGTTAATTTATAATATATCTAAATTGATAGGATAAAAAATGTACATACACGCACAAGTAATTGCACATACATAACAGTTTCATGCAGTTCATGTAATCTTCAGGTGTGGATTCTAATTGACTGCATTAAAGTCCGAGTAGTGTTATCGACGTTGGATATATATATATATATATATATATATATATATATATATATATATATATATATAATATATGCTACTAACTCCTTAAAAATCTACTATCGAAAACAATTTATTCAACTATAATAATATGAAAATAATTACAACCACATCCAAACCTATTTTGGATATGACCAGGACCAAGAATATCCATAACATTAATAATTTGGAAGTAGGTAAACATAAAATAAACTGTCACAACTGCTCCTGAGAATACATTGGGGAAACTTGCAGAAATTAAAACAAAACGTAAGAAAACACAAAAAGGATCTTATACACGACAATTTATCAAATGCATTAGTTATACATAGAAATAAATATGAAAATTTCTCAGATTAACCTATAGAAAAAGACAATATTTATAAATATAAATGACAATAGGAAAACTGTAATAGTTGCTGACGCGTTTCGTCCAATGTGGACATCCTCAAGGCAAAAAACGAAATGAATTTATTTAAAAACAGTAACTAATAATAACAAAAACAAAATATCCATATATAATTTACACACGCTCTATCTGTGATATTGAGCACTTTATCCCATAAATATAGCACACCTTAAGACTATATTTCCTTACATATATATATATATATATATATATATATATTTATATATATATATATATATATAATCCTGTAGAAAAGACAATATTTATAAATATAAATGACAATAGGAAAACTGTAGTAGTTGCCGGCACGTTTCGTCCATTTTGGACTTTCTCAAGGCAAAAAATGAAATGAATTTATTTTAAAAAAAGTAACTAATAATAACAAAAACAAAATGTCCTTAACAACTGAAAGCATTTAGAGAATGCTATTTTCATACTGTTAACTGAAAATTACGTCAATTACTGCCACGTGTGGAAATATTGTTTTTCTTGCAGTGTTGACGGATTCAACTATTTTCTTTTGATTTCACGATATTGTTGTGTACATTTGTGTGATTATGAAAATAGCTTTCTCTAAATTCTTCCTGTTGCTAAGGGCCTTTTGTTTTTGTTACTTTGATTAAATAAATTCATTTCGTCTTTTGCCTTGAGAAAGTCCACATTGGACGAAACGGGTCAGCAACTATTTCAGTTTTCCTATTGTCATTTATATTTATAAATAGAAATAAATTCAACCACAAATTTGTTCCAAAGAATACCTCATTTATTAAAAGACAAAGTAACTTGCTTAGGCCGAAATTTCTTCTAAGTGACTCTATCGAAACTTATTAAAATATAAATCTGCAGCACTGATATTTTCAAAGATCTCCGTTCCTGAAAGAATAACTTTTTTCTCAAGCCAACATGGCTATAAAAATGTTAAAAACTTAAATAAAATCAATTAAATTCATAACCTTATAATATTTAATATATATAATGCATAAATTAATCCCAAACTAGAATAATTAAAATATTAATTGCATTACAAACAACACTATATATTCACTTTCATTTATTAGACATTAAATTATGTCACTTAGCATCTCCCATAATTTACCTTGACATTCAGTTATATTCATGAATATTTATGAGCGGCTTTTAAATTAAAAATATTGAAAATTGTCACAAAATAAAATCCTTAAATTTGCCTTGATAAAGTCCATCAGGAGACGGAAAGAATCGGGTAAGATAAGTTTTTCCTTTCGTCATTATTCATACATACTTACACATACGTAAGTATATTTCTTCCTCAGGTGTTATAAATAAAGTGGTCAATACATAATACAGCGTTGTGAAACAGAGCTGTAAATATATATCACTTCATATACATAGTATCCAACATCCACCTTGGATATTGACTAATATATATACACACACACACACACACACATATATATATATATATATATATATATATATATATATATATATATATATATATATATATATATTAGTGAATATGCATAATATCTAACGATAACACTACTTGGAGTTTCATTCAGTACATGCAGTCTTCAGGTGTGAATACTGACCGTTATCAGATAACGACGTTGGATATTATGTAAATTCATATATATATATATATATATATATATATATATATATATATATATATATATATATATATATATATATATATATTATGAAATGGACAAAGTTCAACAATTATTTTAAAGCAACCTTTATAATATAATTTATTCGGGCCGGTAAATGATGTTAATACTGTTTATTATAAACAGAGCATTTATTTAAATATTTGTATCTATAAAAGAACGTATAAACATAAAATGTATATATATATATATATATATATATATATATATATATATATATATAAGGAAGAGGTTATAGCCGTTCCAATGAAAGAAATGCATATATTTTAAAAAGAAGAGAGAAACCGCAAACTTTTTTTGCTCATAATGTGGAATTTTTTAAACTGATATTATACTTTAATTTAAATATGCAAAATATATATTATACTTTAATTCAATTTAAATATGGAAAATAAAATACAATATATATTTTTAAAAAGCCATATTATAACCAAAATATGCATGTGTGTGTGTGTGTGTGTGTGTGTGTGTGTGTGTGTGTGTGTGTGTGTGTGTGTGTGTGTGCGCGCGCACAAAAATGACTACACCTGCGCTAGAAAAATTACTTAACGTAACGGGATGTAAGCATGGTGTGAATGTCTTCCTCGTCTAAGAAAGGTTATTTGTAATTTGCAAAATTCGATCAGTAAAAGTAATCAACGGGTTCAAGTCCATTCCCAGATATTCGCACTGACCATATGTTAGTGATAATTGTACTACATCTATGTACAAAAGGCTACTAGTTCTTGTCTTTTAAACTAAAGTACCACAGACACGGAAAGAAAACTAAAAAAAAAATTCTACAGAAGGTAGCGAAGGAAAGCGAGAAGAAAGGACTAAGCATAAAATATAAGACAGAATGCATTGTCTTTAGCAAAAATGTGAGCCCAAAATGCAAATTACATGGGGACACTAAAATCAAGCCGATACAGAAATTAAAATATCTAGGAAGTGTTCTAACAGAGCACGGAAAGTGTGACACTGAGATCCGAAGAGTTATCGGGATGGCCAAAGATGCCTTCCAAAAGCTAAGCAGAGTATTAAGAGACAGAAAAATTTAGTTGGAATCAAAGAAAAGAGTATCTGTCCTCTTGTATGGCAGCGAATAATGAACAATCTCCTCACGGATGAAGTAGAGACTTGAAGTCCTCTTGTATGGCAGTGAATTCTGGACAATCTCTTTATAAATTAAGAAAACTTGAAACAGCATTTGGTTCTAGAGAAAGATGCTGAGGATACCATGAACTGGACATATAAGCAAAAATGAGGTTTTGGGGAGAATGGAAAGAAAAAGGAAACTTATACTTAACATCAGGAAGAGGCAGTTGAAATTTCTAGGATATATAATGAGGAAAGAGGGCTTGGAAAATCTGATACTCACAGGACAGAGGAAAGCAGAGCGTAATATACTTGATGGATGGTAGACCAAGAATTAGGAAAAATAGCAAAAAGACAAACCTTATTTAGAGCTACAAGGGACTGGAAGATATGGAGGACCATGATCGTCTACGTCCCGGAGAGACACGGCACATAAAAGAAGATGTAAGTAAAGTTAAGACAAGTACAAGAAATGTGCTCCAACCTTTCGACATTTTTTAAGTCATCATCAGGATTGGTAGAGTTCTAAACTACAACAGTGAATATACTGAACAATTTAAACCTGTAGTCATAAATAACCTAATAAAAAAAAAGCTAAACTTATTTCCTCATTTAAAATAAATTATGTAAAAGAAATAATAGAAATCAAATAATTATCAACGATGAGTTCTCTA